AACGCGTGCGAGATTTTCAAGCATGTGAAGACGGCCGGTTAGGAATGTAGCGATACCATGCAGGTATCGATACTTTTACTGCCCGTCTCCACAAGATAAAGTTTATATCTTGATACATATGTTAGAATATAAATACCCTGCAAGAAGACTGACCTATGATTATCGGATAAATTAGTGGGAAAACTGACTAAAACTTTTCGTCAGTTTAGCGATTAGTTTTGTATGGGCTTGGGGAAAAAAGTGACCACTTCTCCGGGCGTGTGATAGTGCATCCCATTCTTGCACACACATGGGCGCATTTGCCTTACAGTATGTTCACTCGCTCACACATTTCATCTAGTTGGTGATGTACAAGTGAGTTTAGCGATGAAACTATTGGGAAAATATCGCGATAATTAGTGATTTTTCTGACCACTACTCTAACCTCTAAATAATTGATAAATTAGTGAATAGATGGCAGCGAAATGTCCAAAAATACATGAAACCAAATTAAAAAAATACAATTCGATTTAGTTTATGTGTTTGTTTTATTTGTAAAAATATATTGTCGAATATTAACTTAATTTCACAAGCTTTTTCAGAACTACTGAGCTCAGACAATTCTTCTCATTTTTAATCGGGGTCTGAATTTTCGTCGCTAAAAACAAATGCCTCAGCGCCGTTTGGTCTAAGTCGGCCTAAGCACACTGGCCCCAAATTTTTTCTTCTCTATCCACATAGCGCTAAAAAAAGGTTTTTGCTATTTTTTTATATAAAAATTGAATACACTGATTTTTATTAATTCTTTTTTTAAATTCACCGACCTCTTTTTGCACCACAGCTAACAATGAAGTAAAATTCTCTTTGATGTATGTGTGTATGTACATATGTATGCGAGCGTACCATCGATAGTTTCTTTTCGCCGTCAGCCGTTTTTTGCAGGGTACTTGGTCAAATTACCTGGAATCGAACGAAAAGTATCGAGTATTTAATTTTATTGTTTCATCACTAATTCTAGTGCAACACTGCTTTTTGCAAAAAAAAAAATCAACAACACGTGTTGGTTGGTTGTTGACATTTCCATTCATTTAAAAAGCGGAATTTGCTAATTGCAAAATGTTTAAGCGACAGAAATTCGATGCTGACGAGCAG